ACGGTGGAAACAAATACATATTTTTCGAGCAGAGCAAATAAGGGGATGACCCAAACACATGTTTTTGTTTTTAGAGTTATATAACATAGATGCGTTATATGTTATATTGATTACAACATTTTACTTTTCAAAGGACTTTATACCTTTTAGAGCATGTTTAGCCCCAGTATATATTTTTACTCTTTTATGACCGTACAGCACATATACAATATTAGAACCTGCTAAAAAAGTTCTATAGCTTTTGTCTGATTCATACACGATATGGTCCTTCTTTGTGGCTCTAAATGTTTATTTTTTTGGAGGATTTAAATCATTACCTCGCTGTTTTTCTGCTGTATGGGGAGCGACGGCTTGTCGGAGATAGTAATAAGATATAATCGAAAAGTAAAAGAAATGTCCAATAAGATCACCGGGACGGCTCTTTCTGTATTTAGGTACAATAACACATAGCAAATGATCCAATGAAATTCGGTTATATAAAAAATATTTTACCAAATGAAGAAGTACGTTCTGTTGCAACATATCCTCATACAACAGTACGCACCCTTTTCTGACCCCATAACCTCATTTCTCGTGCGTCTTCGAACGTCAGCAGCACCCGTCAATTTCCGCTCGTTACATGCGTCTTTTTATCTTTAGTGGAAGAAAAATGGAATTTAGGCAAAGATCTACATGATTGTAATGGAGATTGATGGAGCAAAAAAAATGCGAAAATGCAAAGCTGAGGTCAATGATGTGCCTCAATGGCCTCATATGATGGAATCATTTTGTTGTTTAATCAACCTCTGATAGTTCATAAGGCAAAAGTACTGAAACAGTCTGTATCATACCTGTGAGAAATTTAAAAAAAAAAGTATATATATATATATATATATATATATATACAGTATATGCATAGGCAGGGGTACAAGCTGACGATGATGGAGACTCACAGCAAGGGAAGGGGTCTGTAGGCAGGCGGATTTGACTCGCGGGATGAGGGAGTTCTTGATGGACGGGTAGTCAATCAGGTTGGCAAACGTCGGGATGATGTTCAAGCACAGCTCCAGCTCGGACAGATAATATGTTATGGAATCTGACATCTCTATGATGCCAAGAGCGTTCATTTACCTTTGACAACAGAGGAGTTCAAGGTTTGTGGAACGCTACAAATATACACCAATGAATATGATTTCATATTCCGCCTCCTGTACCTGGATCTGTACAGAAGGAGCTTCCAGCGCTCTGTAGACCATAGGAAGCACGCTGTTCTTGATGTCCTCCGAGGGCGTCTTGGTCAACAGAAGGTCCATCTTCTGCAGGAATATCAGCAGGATCTGCACAGCACAGGGGCCCAGTTAGGAACACACGAGTCGAAAGCGTGATGCTATTTTCTACATGTGGTTAAAGTAAGTTGAGTGGAAGTTAACGGAGACGGTGCTTTTCAGCGGCTGCTTTAGTGTAGCTCTTAGCACGACAGACAACACAACGCACAGGCTAGCTGATGTGACAGCAGAGACCACTCACCATGTTACTAGCCTGAAGAAGCATGGGAAGAAAAAATACAGAGAAAGACAAGTCTTGATGAGGAGGCAGACCAAACCCAAACAGAGCATGCTCTTTAGTCATATTCAACTTTCAAATGTCAAAAGGGGGAAACTATCATGCAAAGATTTAAAGAGGGCAATCACACTTTACTGAGAGCACATTACCTGAGTGCACGTCATTACTTAAGTGCATTGCTAGCCTACCAGCACATGCCTAGACTACAATAGTAATGTTGAGCAGTTGTGTTGCAGTCAC